ATGTGCAGGCCGTGAGCAGACTGCTAATAAAATGGACAACGAAGGAAGTCAGGCATACCTGAAACATCCTTTCTGGCTCTCTAAGCATTTGGACAAGATTGGCCCCCTGGCATTTTGATAAGTGGAAATGACTAAACATGACATGAAAAGGCATCGGAAGAGCCAGCGATTGTCTTGTAGCTGGAAGGAGGCACTTCAAAGAGCCTTCATGAAAAGAGACAGTGAGAACAATGAATCAGTGGAACAATTTGCCTCCAGAAGTTGTGAATGCTCCAACACTGGAAGTCTTGAAGAAGATGTTGGATAACCATTTGTCTGAAGTGGTGTAGGGTTTCCTGCCTAGGCAGGGGGTTGGACTAGAAGNCTGCGTTAGATGCAGTTTGGCTTTGGGGAGATTTGGTAAACCGAGCAACGGTTCCAAAATGCACAATCTGATTGGCCATACGGTCCGTGTCCCTTTTGCATTAAGGCCATTTTCATGTCCTTCCCACTCCCTCCCACCCCAGTCCCCAAGCCCTCTCATCTTTCCCCACGCAGAGTAACAACCGTTCGTGCCTCTTGCTCCCGCTTCCATACTTGGGAGAAAGCAAACCAATTCCCATCGTTGGGACTTTCAAAGCATCCCAGCTGAATTTCCCACAATGCTTAGCGCCGCACGGCGTCGTGGGAAACCCATCTCTTATGGGAACGCCAGAGTCATGATTTTGCCCCCCAAACGGGTCCTGTCCTTTCGCAAATGAGGACAGGGGTAAACCCAAGCCAATTTGAAGCGAGGATGTGGGAATATTCCCCCCCCTGTTTTGGGGGGGGGTCTCAAAAAGCCCTCAGCAAGGGTCTTCAAAGGCCATATTCTACCCCCCCACCCTCCGCTGAGCCCCCATTTTTGCAGATTGTTCCACATTGGCTCTTTGAAGCCTAACCTTCCTCCCTGCACCCCCCCTTCCCCCAGCCGGCCCATCCCGGCCCTTGGGGTTGCCCCTCTCGTAGGCTTTCATAAACAAGGCCGGGCTGCGAGGGGCGCGGGTGAGCGCGGCTAATCGGCTCCATCTGGCGCTTTATTTATCGTTTCCATCCGGCTCATGCAGGCTAATTCAAACCATCGAAGCAATCAGCGAAATTCTTCAGGATTTCAAGTACGATTCGGAAGAAAGCAGTTGACAGGCCGTCCCGTGGGAGAAGGATGAAGAAAGGCTGGGGATGGAGAAGAGGGCGGGGGGAGAGCCAGGGACGTAAGAGCTCCCCCCCACCCCCCACCCCGGGCTAAGGTTGATCCTCGCTCGCCTGCAGCTCGCCCACCCCAGCTTCCTTCTTTCATCGTGCCAGGCCGATGCCCACAGGCGAGATGCCACAGGAGGCGCCCCCGCTCGGTGGTGGCTTGGCCACCTGCCCCAACAAAGCCGATTCTCTGGAAGGTTTCTTGGCACTTGGTCTCGACGGCCTTTATGGGACAAGATGGGGGGGAATTGCTTGTTTATGTTCTGAAATAAAGCGGTGTTTTTTTTCCAATCCCTTCAATTAAAGAAAACAGACTCTCTCTCTCTCTTTTTTTTACTTCTCTCTCTCTCTCAAAAAAGTCAACATGGCATCCCCAGGGTCTATTTTGGCAAACCTCATCTTTCATCCTGCTACTTTTCACCCTGGACCGAAATCCGAATCTCTCTTACAAGGGATTAAGAAAATTGCGTTTGGAGGAGGGAAGGAAGCACTGGGGGCATTTTACAAATTTAGCATTTATTTGGATGCTCACCCTGCCTGACAAGGGTATTCCGATTGGGGGTGGGGGGGTGGGGGGCTCCCCAATTCGGGATTGTAACCCTAAACTGTCAGGGCTACTCCCAGATACGTTCCCAGCACAGGGCTTTCTAAGTTACTGACTTATAGTCCTCGACTTATGACCACAATTGAGCCCAAACTTTCTGCTGCTACGGGAGACATTTCTTGTGAGTTTCCCCTCCCCGTTTTACGGCCTTTCTTGCCCCAGTTGTTAAGTGAATCGCTGCAGTTTATAAATTAGTAGCTTGGTTGTTAAGTGTTGATTTTGCTTGTCAAAAGGGTCGCAAAAGGGGATCACGTGACCCCGGGACACTGCAACGGTTGTAAGTATGAGTCAGTTGCCAAGCATCTGAATTTGGATCACACGAGCATGGGGATGTTGCAAAGGTCGTAAGTGTGAAAAATGGTCATAAGTCCTTTATTTCCCAGTTGAACGGTCACTAAATGAACTTTTGTAAGAAGAGGACTACCTGTACTACTTGACTTACGACCGCGATTGAACCCAAAGTTTCTGTTGCGAATGAGACAGTTGTTAAGCGAGTTTTACCCCATTTTATGGCCTTCCTGGCCACAATTGTTAAGTGAATCACTCGTTAGTAATACAGTTGTTAAATGAATCTGGCTTCCTATTGACTTTGCTTGTCAGAAGTTTGCAAATGGGAAACACGACCCCAGGACACTGCATACACGTCATACGTACATGCCAGTTGCCAAGCATCTGAATTTCGATCACATGACCACTGGGAGGCTGCAATGCTTGTAAGCGTGAAAAACAGTCATAAGTCACTTTTTTCCAGTGCCGTTATAACTTTGGAATGTCATTAAGTGAACTGTTATAAGTCAAGGACTACTTGTACAAACTCCATCCTCTACCACCAGGACCATGTTGGTTGAAAATGGCAGTATTTGTAAACAACAAGAGAAATTGGGGAGGCTGGTCTTTTATCTATCTTAGATAGATTAGATAGATGATAGATAGATAGATAGATAGATAGATAGATAGATAGATAGATAGATAGATAGATAGATAGATAGATAGATAGATAGATA